TTCTGACATGATTTGTTATTCTTGGTTTTTTTTTCTTTTTGGGTGACCCCCCCCCCCACAATGCTCAGGGGTTACTCCTGGCGGTGCTCAGGGGACCATATGGGATGCCAGGGATTGAACCCTGGTCGGCCGCATGCAAGGCAAGCACCCTCCCCACTGGACTATCACTTTCAAAGGTCCTCTTGTTCTTGCTTTTTATACCTCACCCTGGCATATGAATTAGGTCACAAAACTAGATCTTTCCTCTTGCGCCTTATGACTTGCAACGCAGATAATGAAAGGTTATCAGGTATATCCCTTTACCTAATTTCAACACTCAAAAGAAAATGTTTTTAAAAGATAAAGTGGAGAAAAACAGTTAAAGGAATAGATCATCATCTAAAAGTAAGCATTTCAACTGCCAAGGTTTACAGGAAAATTCACTATATTCCACAAAATGGACATGATTTTATCATGAAGAAATATCTAAAGGAAGTTTCTTGTCTGACCTATCATGCAACATCTTAGTCATTAGTCAGTTTATGAAATGTGAAATGTTAGTTGCCACTGCAAAGTCTGGTAAGCTACCCACGATGTATTCGATATGCCAAAAAACAGTAACAAGTCTCACAATTTGTTGTGAGACGTTAGTGGTGCCTGCTTGAGCAAATCGATGAACAACAGGAGGACAGTGCTACAATACTTTTGAGAATTACATAGACTATTAAGGGCTAGCAAGTTAGTCTATAGGACAAATCCACCCATTGCCTCTGGCACCCCTTTTTGGGTTATTTTTTGGGCCAATTTCCGGGGCAGTGGATGGAGTTACTTTCCTGGCAGTGTCTGGGACCAGCAGTACTGGAGATAAAATCAGGGCCTCCCTGTGCAAAACATGTACTCCAACAGTTTGAGCCATCTCACTAGGCCCATCCATGATATAAAAAAATAGATGCTATTAAAAAACATTTTACGAGTTTGGCTTGTGTATTTACATATTATCTAATGGCTGTTTTTACACAAATGATAACAAAGTTAATTAGGTGGCCTGCAAAGTCTAAAACAATTATATGGTACTTTACAATACAGACAGCTAAAACACCAGAGTAAATAAGTTTATTCATTCTTGGAAGCCAGTCTCTCTCTCTCTCTCTCTCTCTCTCTCTCTCTCTCTCTCTCTCGCTATATATCTATATAGATACATAGATATATAGATATATAAAGATACATATAGGATATACATATATCCTAATTCATGGAGTTCATAATCTTGTACAGTGACATGTCTTACATGCAAATAACAAAGATATGTATGTCAATAACAAGGGATTTAAAAAAAAACCTAGGTGCTTTAAGAAAGTCTTCTAGGAGGTGGAGAGATAGAACATAAAGAGTAAGGCGCGCACTTTGTATGTGGGTCAACCTGGGTTCAGTCATTGATTCCTGACTGCAAAGTCAGGGTATGGCCCCAAAACAAACACAAAACAAAACAAAAACAAGTGTTTCAGGAAGACATTAGGAATCAGCTGTTGCACTGAGTTCTAAAAGATGATTCTAACTTGGACACATAAGATGAGGTGGTTACGGTGTTGAAGAAAAAGAGACTTCTAACAAGACTACAAAAGTGACTGTACTTTGCATGGAGGAGCATAGTTAGTTAAAAAAAAAGGTTAAAAAAAAAACCCATGTCCAGGTCAAAGGGAAAAAAAGGCTTTCTATATCAAAATTAGCAGCTTAAATTAATTTTATTTCTTATATTTTGGCTTTTGGGTCACATTCTGTAATGCTCAGCGACTGTTCCTGACAAGAGTAGGGGAATGGGAGCACAGAGTGCTAGGATTGAAACAGGCCTCAGAATGCCAAGTATAGTGCATTTTTGCAATATAATCTTAGCGCTATCTTCCCAGCCCCTTGTTCTAATTATTTTTTAAAAAAGGAACTATTTAAATTTAAATAATCATTAAATGTGCTGCACTACCACTTTCCCATTTTAAAGTCACTGGAAACAAGTACCCATTAAGATAGAATTCACTTACTAGGGCCCCCTCTGCTGGACTGCTGGAAGTAAAGGTGGCTTTGTTTCATAGTTGCTTCTTTCCAGAAAGTGAATCAAATGTTCTCCAAATGAAGAGAAACACAATTTCTTTCTCTATGCTTTCAAAAGTCATGATCTTATTTTAAATATTTAATTTTGAAATTAAGTTTTCATACTCAAACCTCCGTTTGAATTATCCTAAAAACTGTCTTTTTTTTTTCTTTCCAATTATGCTAGAAACTACGAATGGAGTTTTAGCTCCCTTGTTTGTAGACTTCTGGTAGAACTCTACCAATGAAAGATAAAAATTATATACTGGAAGGCAAAAGAGAGAGATACCTTTTAACTCTAATTCAGAATTTCCCCAGTGACTTCAGCTTTTTTGAAAAAAATAATCATTAACCCCTGGTCTCAACTACCTAACTTGAAGCTGTATTCCCCCATTTACCACTATTTGCCTATTTTACCTCATGGTTGCTTTACCATGCTCTTTTTATTTTCTCAAATCTTCCATCTCTATGACAAGGAAAATACCTCAGAGGCTAGGGGGTGTAAGCCTTGTATGTGCAAAGGCCTCAGTACTATCCTCAGCACCAAAAGCCCTCTTTCTCTGCCACCTCCAACCTCACCAAGCCCTTGTTGATCGCAGTTATGGCCCTTAGCATCACGAGGCCCAAGCAGCACCTCATCAGCATCTCCAGGCCCTCCCATGAATGATCTGACTCAGTTGCCACATTATCACCCATGGTGATCCTTGGCACTCTTGAGTACTGCTGAGGAGCCCTAACAAAACATCTCCTATCATATATGTATGCCATTATCCAAATTAAAGTTCTTATAAATAAAAGGATAAGAAACATAGAGGGGGAAGAAAGAGCAAAATGGTCCAGGCTTATTTTTACTCAAAGGAGACTCACTGAATACCACAGTTGTCTTTCACAGTGGAGAAGAAATAGAAGTAACATTAATAAACTTTTGGCTAGGCCTTTTTTTTAGCCAAATTTTGAAATGCGTAAGATCCTCGGTTTAATCACCAATATTAAAGAAAAAATAACTTTCTATATCACTTGTATAAGGCCAACCATCTCAAATTGGATCATGTTGCATTACATGACATTCCAAGTTGAAGCTACAGAAGCATGTCCTATTTTTCTGATGTGTCCATAGTAAGTCAGTGAAAAGGTTACATACATATTAAAACAAACAACAAAGATATTGTCAATTTAGTGGGGAATAGTTTTCAACAAATGGTCTAGAGACAACTAAATATCCTCAGTGAATAAAGTTAGACCACTACCTCATACAATATATAAAAATTAACTCAGAATGGCCGACCTACATTTAAGAGGTAAAACTCTACGAAGAAATCAGAGGCACAGATCTTCAGGACAGTGAATTAGGAAATAGTTTCTTAGGTATGATACACCAAAGTACCAACCAAAGGAAAATTAAGAAGTTAGTCTTCTCAAGGTTGAACTTTTGTGCCTGAAATGGCATTATCAAGAAAGTAAAAATAAAACAACATATATGAGAAAGTACTCAGAAACTGTATTTAATAAGGAATGTGTATCTAAACATGTAATAGAATCTTACAATTTTTAACAAATAAGACCATGTGAAAAATAGGCAAATAATGATAAATATGTCACATCATTGATTCTGGAAAATACAAACAAAAATCACAATGAGAGAGGCTCGAGAGAGAGTGCAGTAGGCTTCAGGTACCTGTGGTTTGCTTCCACCCAACTTTGGTTCTAACCCCCTGCCCCCACCGCCCCCCAACTACACATATGGTCTCCCAGCTCTGAGAAAGCTCATTCCTGAGCAGAGTCAGGAACAGAGCCCTAACACAGCTCTGCTAGCCCAAACAGCTCCCATTACAATGAGACTGTGATATGGGGCAGAATGTGGGCACATAAACTGACTATATAAGGGTCTGAAAGAATTTTTCTGGGGTGAAGGAAACTTTCTATATTTACCAGGACATATGCATTTATCAACAGTGATCAACTGTACACTTAAAATCTACTAAATGTATTATATATAAATTAAAGCAACAAATTTTTTAAAGTTTTTAGGTCACACCTAGCACAGCTCAGGGGTTACTCCTGACTTTGCACTCAGGAATTACCCCTAGCAGTGTTGGGGGTGGGGGGGCAGTGGGGGAACGAAAAGGGGGAAGACACATGACCATGTGGGATGCCAGGGATGGAATGGGGTTGGGTTCATGCAAGGCAAATGCCTTACCCACTATACTATCTCTCCAGCCACTAAAACCAAATATTTTTACAGTGTGAAGCAGAAGTCAAGTTCCTCAATAGAAGGAAAGACGCAAGAAGTATCAAATGTCCCACTACCTACCTTGTTATTATACAATTAGTTAAAATTGAAAGAGAAGCAATTTTCTGGCAGAGCATAGAAAGTGTCAGATAGAGCAGTAGGCTTAACTGATCCAAAGGCCTTTTAGAAATAGAGAAAACAACTGAAATTTAGGTCATAACACATTTGGAGTTGTTTCTGCTATAAATTGGGTTTCACAGGACACTTTTAGATGCTGAAGCAGTCATATTAGATGCTACTAGTGTAGTCCTATTAATGGTAGCCTTATGCATTACCATAATTATAATGGAACAATTACATTTTGTAGACAATAAATAACCAAAATAGTCCTCATACAAAACTACCTTGTATAATTAAAAATTTCTAAGTAATCAGTGACATTTTATCACTACATTTACAAGGATTCTAACAATTTTTTACATCAGACATTGTGTAACTACTTAAGAGTAATTAAGTACATAATTTTGGGGGGGAATAGAGGTTATCCACTTATCCCAGAAAAAAAAACTGGTGCTTTTAACATCACTACTTTTGATAATTTTGTAGTTATACCCGAAACACTATACTTATAACTTAATCAACTCAAATTCGACTTTTAAAAACAATTCTGTATTTCCAAACAATGCATTAGAAAAATGGGTTCCCTTACCTCATTATCATCATCAGAATCATCCCCAAACACTGATGGCTTTTGCAAAACAGGATGTAACTGCTGTGCTTTCTTTGGCAAAATAAGCCCATACCTGCATTTGTTTTTGAAATAGAAATTACACCATTATATGTTAAAAAATAATACACCCACTGCCTCTTCCAGATGAAGATGCCAGGTCAAAACATGTCAATTAACCTATACACACGTAACACTGCCTCTGTTTTTTTTTTTAATTAGCTCAAAATTCTAGTTACCCTGAGTGATTATTTGTGAATATGGCCAAACTTCAAAACACTTTTTGAACCAAGGGAGTCAAGTCACTGAAGAGTTCAAAAATGTTTTAGTTGTTTAGACAAATAAACAAAACAAACCGGGTTAGAAAGTTCACTTCCAGCCCACGAAATACAAAAACGCACTCAATTCTCTTTGTGGTCTAACAAAAGTCAGGAAAATGGCCAGCCCCCCCCCCCCCCGCTTCCGCGTCCCCTCCCCCCCCCACACACACACTTACACAGTTTAAACAAGTTACAGAATAATGTCACCCAACACAAACTTTTTGAAAGATACCATTAACCGAGAAATCCAAAGCAGCCATGGGGCAAAATCCCATTGCTTTGTCCCGGAGCCTCCGAGAGAACCCTCCCATCGGACCCCGACGCCTTTCGCGTCTCCCATGCTCATCGTTTAAGATGCACAGATAACGGAAAGCCGCATCCCGGGGCGGACGGCTGAGGCAGAACCTGCAAGTGACCACGTCTCCCTGGCGAACACGGATCCACCCCCCACACCACCCTCCGTTGCCTACACGCCTACCCTTTCCTGAGGCTTCTCCGCACAACACTCCTTCCCCGAGGAGGGAGGGCGGGAGCCGGGGCTGGAGCCGCCCAGAGAACAAGAGGCCCTCTAAGGAGGCCGGGGGTGTCTCTTCTCACTGCCCCCAGAGCATCCAACCGGGGAGAAACTCAAGCGCGGGGTAGGAAGCAAGACTGAGGGGCCTCAGACCGAGCTTTTGGAAAATAGAAAAGTCTCGCTCTCTGCCCCTCAGCCTAACTTCCTTTATTTCCTCACAAGTTTCTCCCTCAAACTTCGGGCTTCCATCCTGGAAAACGGGGGGTGGCGGGGGGAAGGGAAGTATGTTGCTCAGGATTCCTCGTTTTCCCCCGTCCTTATCCCTGACGACACAGCCCCGTCACTTCCAGCGCATGTTTACTCGTTGGCCCCAGACACAGTCGCCGTGGTTTTCCTCTCCCCAGCCTGACCCTAACTCCCAGATCACTCACTGCCTGCCCGGAATCGCCATCTTGCTCCCGTCTCCGCTGAACGTGGCCGACGCTGGCGTGACGCTGACGCAGGCGAAATCGCGGAAGTTCTCGCGCGGCTTGGGGCGGTGCGAGCCCGCCCAGCGGCCACTTTTACCTCTTTTTCTTTGGCTTTCACCCACTGGGCCGGCTGCCATGCGGACGGCGGAACTGGCGGGTTCGATCCCCGGCATCCCGTCTGTTGCCCCCCGCCCCCACCCCAGCCCACTAGGAGTGATCTCTGAGCATCACTGTGTGTGGCCCGGATACCTAAAACAAATGAATACGCGAAATGCAAATGATCAGGTCCTAATCCGGAGCTACTCAGGTTAGAACTCTACAGGGGGCCCAGCAATCTGAACTTGAACGAGGTCTGCAAGGGATTTGGGTACCCAATCAGGTTTAAACACCACAAGACTGAGCCATCGAAGTTTTGTCCTCTCTGAAGTGTTTGATGAGTAAACCTATCTCGGCAATTTGGCAACGATGAAAATATGATAATTTGTTCTTTTTTTTTTTTTTTTGCTTTTGTGTTTGGACCATACCCAAGTAGTGCTTAGGGCTTACTCCTAGCTGTGTTCAGGGGTCGCTCCTTGCAGGTTCAGGGGGACCATATAGGAATCAAACCCGGCTCAGCCTCGTGAAAGGCAAACGCTCTATCCGTCACACTGTCGCTCTGACACCTAAATTATTAATGGAAGCAATGCTGTCATTTGGAAGCAAACTCATGTGATACTTCATTTTGGATTCAACTCACGGGCTATTTATCCACACATTTCACTCTTGACCAATTTCAAACTGATCTTTAATTTACTGACAAGTTAAAAACATCTGACCACAATTGTGGATATGTCTATTCATTTCACTTACGTGGGGTGTGAGGTGGGCCACACCTGCCTGGGAAGACTACTTCTTTAATACTCTCTGCAGTGTTCAGGGGATCATGTGGTATTGGGATTGAATGCTTGGCCCTTTGAGTTATCTTGCCAGCCTGCTCCTTCCAATTTGGACAGTTTTCACTTGACACCTATTGAAATTGTTATTGCTTATATAAACACAACTTTGTTATGTTTTCTTTCAGTGACCTGTATACTGTTAAGAAGTGACCCTTTATTGACTTTGTCTACTGCATCTGATGTTATTAAAGCCAGTATTGATAGCTTATCTTTTTCCATCACTTTATTCTTACCATTTATAAATCTATGTCAAAGTGAGTCTCTCTATTTTATTTTTTTCCTTAGTTTTTTGGGGGCACAAATGGTTGTATTCAGGGGTTACTCCTGGCTCTGTGCTCAGGGAATCAATCCTAGTGGAGGTCACGGTACATGTGGTGCAGGGTATGGAAGACAGGTCAGCGGTGTGCAAGGCAAGAATCCTACTCACTCAGTTGTCTCTCTGTCCTGCAAAGTGAATCTCTTATTGAGTAAATTTTTGAGTCTTAATTGCTTTTTTAAATCCAATATGCCAATCTCTTTTGCTTAATTAATATTTAGACTAATTATTAGTATGTTTGCAATTTTTCTATTTTACTTGTCTGTATATATCCTTTCCCTTTTTCCTTTCTGCTCTCTTAGATTAAATGATATCATTTAATTATTTGGGCTGGAGCAATAGCACAGCCGGTAGGGCATTTGCCTTGCACAGGGCCAACCTGGGTTTGATTCTTCCACCGCTCTCAGAGAGCCCGGCAAGTTATCAAGAGTATTCCACCTGCACGGCAAAACCTGGCAAGCTACCCGTGACGTATTTGATATGCCAAACACAGTAACAAGTCTCACAATGGAGACGTTACTGGGCCCGCTCGAGCAAATCAATGAACAATGGGAGGACAGTTCTGGACAGGGCTAGTGCTAAATTTAATTATTTAATTTATGAATGCATTATTTTTCTTTCAGGGTCACAGCTAGCAGTGCTCAGAACCTTCTCCTGGCTTGGGCACCAGAACCCTGACCTCCTCTGTGCAAATCACCTGCTCCTGTTCTTTGAAATATTTCTCCCAAACCGTACATTATGAAATTTTAAAATTTTATTTGTTCATGCTGGAGGAAAAGGCAGCTCAGATAGAGAAGGGAACACCAGGTAAAATGCGGTTGGAGGACCCACTTGGGATGGGAGATGCGCACTGAAAGCAGACTATAGATCAAACATGATGGCCGCTCAATACCTCTATTGCAAAACACAATTCCCAAAAGGAGAGAGAGAACAAAAGGGAATGCCCTACCACAGAGGTGGGGTGGGTGAGTGGGAGGGATACTGGGATCATTTGTGGTGGAGAACGGGCACTGGTGGAGGGATGGGTACTTGAGCATTGTATGACTGAAACACAAGCACAAAAGTTTGTAAGTCTGTAACTGTAGCTCACAGTGATTCACCAATAAAAAATTTTAAAAAATTGATTTGTTCATTAGCTTATCAACTATATTATTGGATGTTTAGATGTGTTTTTTGGGGGGGTCTTTAGGGGGAGATCCCAAGTCGTTTTCCGAAGGCCAGAAGTCTCACCAGTGATTCTGTATTTCTGGGGGTCATCAGGGCACCCCATGATGTGAGAGGGCCATATGTGACAGGAATGCTTGGGGACATGCCAGCCCTGTGCCTTAACCACTGTACTATCTCTCAGCCCCTGTTTTAATTTTGACTTAACTTTATTGCCAAGTGGGTTAACTGCCCCTTTCTACCACTCCCTCTCCCTAGCATGGTTTCAGTCTCAGGACACTGGGCCAGTAGTGTGTGTGTCTGTATGGTTTCTTCTCCCCATAGCAAAGAGAATGTGGTGGGCTAGAAGCTCTGGTAGATCTAGGCGTCTAGGAGCAGAATCTCACCCACAGCCTCAGTTATAGCGAGAGTGCTCTGGCTTTTGCCAGAGTTGATTTTCAGCCATTGCGAGCTTTTGAGATTGTGGTATTTTTTTAAAGAGATGTTGCCTTAGGGTTTCTAATATGCATTTTTAGCTTATCATTATCTGTTCTCACATTATATACTGTATAAAAACCTTGCTGGGGTGGGCGGGGAAAGTAGCACTCTAGGAAAAATGAATGCCTACCTGCAAGGCCAGGAAGGGAGTCTAATCACAGAGAGAAAGTATACGTGAGTGCTGTTTTTGTGGACTGCCATTTGTGATATCCAAGAGTGAGTATACCACAACTATAGTGTGCAAGCCTTAGCAGCACGCAACTTAAAGTATGCAGTCATTGGTCACAATAACAACAAGAAAGTAGGGGAAGTATATTTCTGTTTTTCCTCTCTTAGATTTTGTGCTATTGTTGTCATACATGTTTTCTGTTCAAAACCCATGAAAGGAGGGGGGATAGGGTTCAAATGGTAGAGCATGTGCCTTTCCTGTGTGAGTTGTTGCTAATGACACCCAGCATGAGCTATCAAGATCCTGCCACCCCATTCATAGGTTGGAGCTCTGATGGCCCCCTAGTGTGGGGACCACAACAATTTTTCAATTTTTTTTTTGTTTTTGGGTCACATCTGGCAGTGCTCAGGACTTACTCCTGGCTCTGTGCTCAGGAATCATTCTGGGAGGGCTTGGGAATGATATGGGATGCTGGTGATTGAGGCTGGGTTGATTGCTTGCAAGGCAAGCACTCCCCTACCTGCTGTAGTATCACTCTGGCCCCTTAAAATTTTATTTATAATGAATACAAGTCTTGTTACTTTTAGAAGTATTTTAATTTGGGGCTTCAGTGCTCAGAGACTACTCCTGGTGCTGTGCTCAGGGATCACTCCTAGAAGGATTTGAGAGACATGCACGGTGCAAGGGATTGAACCAGGGTCAGCTATGTGCAAAGCAAGGGCCTTAAGCCCTAGACTATCTCTCTGGCCCTCACAACAATTAAAAAAAAAACAGTAATGGTTGAAGAAAGAGTGAAGCACTAAAGCACATGCCTTGATTGTGTGAGATGCTTCAGACATCATATACTCATAGATCCCAATCCGGGAGACTCCTAGGACCAAACTATTTGGCTCAGTTTGCCAGGTATGACAAGTGGCCCTCAGCCTCTGAGTATTGATTCAGAAGGAATTCCCTCTTAAAAACAAAAACAATAAAATAGCTATTTTTGCTTTAAGTAATTCTTTCAAAATATTCTTAAATAAAATATTATTTATCCACATATTTACTATTTCTGGTCTCTACAGATCTTTGTGTAGATCCAAATTTTTGTGTAGTTTAATTATTTTTAAAAACATCTCTGTTAAGATAGAATTCATTCACCCTCTTAAAGTGTACAATTCAATATTTTATTATATTCAGAGCTGAGCTACCAACAACACAACAGAATCCAAAAAAGGAACTGTATACCTATTAATCACTCCTTTCGCTCCCAAACCAATAAATTCTTGGCAACCTATACTACTTCTATCGTATGGACTTGCCTTTTTTTTCCAGTTTTTGATCCACAGATTTGAAAATGTTATTAGCTGTATGTTTAAAGTTTGTGATGTCTTAATTAATTGACCCCTTTTTCATTTTGAAACAACCTTTTATCATGGTAATATTCTTTGCTCTGAAATCTACTTTTTGTGATGATATTAAACACTCTAAAGTTTTCTTTTGACGCTTAATCCAGGGAAAGACAAAAAAAGATGTTCAGGGAAAGAAAATAATTGTACTTTTCTAAATGGCTTAGTGCCAAATACATAATAATGATAGTGCTAACACTGGATATCAAGCTATTCTTACCTACATCACATTATTATAAAGGAAAGAGTAGAGGGATGGAAAGTATGTGTGCTGGGGATGTACATGCCAAGGTGGGAGCTAAATCTTTGTATTGAATGCTGGGAGGTTAATTGATATCAACTAAGTCAGAAAAAAAGTTATCATGCTTGTTTGTTAGAAATACGGAGGTGCAGCTTGCTTTCAAGACTGTGTTCTCCCTTGAACACATGTCTCACTTGCTTGTCTATGTTTATTTGCTTATTTTCATTCTGGAGAAGCCTGTGTTCTCTCTTGAACATGTACTTCTCCATTTCTCTCCTTTCACCTCTTTCTAAATAAACTTCAGTAAAAACCTTCTTGCTTCATCAATAAAAA